CTCCAAAGGGCCCACAGCCTCAAATAGCTGCTACGATCTGTTTGCGCTTTGTAGCAAGTTTCATTGAGAGGTTTTCTGCTTTAATTCGTTCCTTTATTTGATTCCTTGCAGTATAAAGTTGGCAGAATCTGTTAGTTGGTGCTTGTTCCCTTGGTGCTCGCCTCATTTGTAATGTTCAGAGGTAGAGTTTTGTGGGAGAAGCATGTTTTGCTCTCCCAAATGAGGCAGGTCTCCTGAAGCTACATTGTAAAGCAGTAATTTAAAGCCCACTGAATGGCTTTTACCCCCTTTCCTCATGCGTGCACATTGTCCTCTTGAGGCAGGTTGGCTAGGGCTCAGTAGCATAGCCCTTGTATTCAGCAGGCCTGAATCAACCCCTCTAAAGGATGATGAAATTAAAAAATAACACTGAAAATTAATACAACCTGGTATTGTGGGAATGATTTTTCTGTCTCCTCTCTTTTTTCCCTTAAAAATGCTCCTGTTCTCCAGAGCACGTATCTGTGAGACATCATATACCACTTTCCAAAATTTTAAGTTATCAACTTATTTTGGACTCGTGCAGGACATCTGTCTTTCATAGTTGCCTGTCCTCTTGCTGGCAATTTGACTCTTCCAACAACCCTCAAAGAAGTCTTGTCCTATCCACCCCCTCACTACTTGCAAGTTTTCATCTCATCTGCTTAACATATAAATAACATCGGCTGTAGTCATCATGTGGGTCCCAGGATCTTCAGCTCTTCTCTGATTTCATAATAGCAGGAGCATGTTGTTTCTTTCTTCTTACAGGTTTAGGGTGGAGGTGAGAACCAGGATATACAGAGCAGATAACAAATATGAAGGAGAAAGAACTGCTACTGGGCTCTTAGGTTTTTTGTCCCCCTCTATGGTTGCCTGTGAAAAATATGTTGTATCTTAGTTTGGCTCAACCCATTTGGTTTCCTGCTATTCCCCAGAAACAGGGAGGTAGGAGAAGTTGGTTTCCACTGTGTCCCAGCTCCCTTGTTTTCAGGACGGTGGTGTTTTGTGGCACCTGTAAAGTAGCTCCAGCCTCAGGCAAAATCACATACTTATGAAGATGCCCTCTGAGTACGCAGGATGGTAATACCGGTACTGGTACTAACTTCTTAGCTGATGCTTTGCACCTCTGTCCAGTCCTATTAATGACCTCTGCTTGCACCTTAGTTACAGGGAGGAGTTGAGAGTAGGGCTTGGAGCAAGCCAGGCTTTGCAGTGATTGAGGACACAGTTCAAGCAGAGACTGTCACTGGTATCTGCTACAGTCCAATGCCTTGGTCTGGTGAACTCCAGTGTTTGCATGTGTGGGTGGGAATGGATTTATAAGGGGGTTGTGTGTCCTGTTTCAGTGGTGCATTGTTTTTTTCTTTTTTATTTACCCAGTTTGTAAAACCAGAGTGGCCCATGGAACCAATTCTCACGAGGTGAGTTAAAAAACTTTTGCAGTGTTATCCTCCTGCTTCCAGTCCCCCCATGGTGGTTTGCCTGGTGCTTTCTGATCCTGTAGTAGGCAGAATGAGACCTATGCCCAAACCACTTCCTTTCCCCCCACCTCTCCCCCATGTTTAATTACACCATTATATTTTCAGATTTATCTGAAATGAAGTTAAATATGATGTTAACCTCTTGACGTGGAAGTTATTTCTAGCAGTTTCTAGCTTCTATAGTCTAGTTGCTTCTAGCAGTTTGTAGTCTCTAGTCAGCTCTGTCTGCAAAGAATCTCCTTCAGCCTCTCCTTTGATGGGAGGTCACATTCAGTGATGTTTCCACCCCACCATGTTTCTCTTCCAGCATGTATGTGGTGCAGGTGAGAAATGGTTTTGTGCTGCGAAGCAGAAGTAGGAGTGAAGGCCAGCTGGTTCCTCTCCTTGAGGGGAAGGGAATAGCAAATACAGACGGTTTCTAGGCATGTTCAGTTGTGGTAACACAGCTGGAGCTGTGGGAAGAACAGGGCTGGTAGAACTCCCTGCCTTCCCGTAAGGCAATTGCAGTTCAAATGGTTGTGTATTCCTGGAAGGAGTGCATTCCCTGTGAGCCTAGCTTCCTCTAAATTTAGGCGAGTTGAGTCCTGTTTTAATTCTTTTCCATTTGTGCTTCCTGCCTTCCTGCTCACCACAGCTTAGTTTTGAGAATCCAGCCCTAGCTGCTGGCTGTCCTAATGCCTGGCTTCCTTTGTTAACAACGTGGTCATCAGTCCAGGTTTCCCAGCTGCTCCTGAAACCTACAGTGTGTTGCTGCAGTGTCTCTGAGACCTGAAGGCCCTGAAGTAAAATGTAAATCTAGACAAGCAGAATGGGTATGGCTGAAATCTTGAGTGACCAGTGTTTTAAAAATGCAGTAAGATTATTCATGCAGGCCTTAGCTTGGATCATTTTACAAGCTAACTGTCCTGTTAGTTTGCTGGAGCAGCCGCTATAAATTTTTGCTGTCATTCCCGAGAACACTTGGGAACTGGATTGTCAATGAATTTAAGACTCCAGCTTCCCTGCTGATTTTTCTGTTGAGAATTCCTCTGTAACTGCAACCTGAAATGCATGAAACTTTCAGTGCTTCTCCAGTCAGGCGAATCTTCCTTTGCTCTTCTTTCATACAGTGCAGGCATACCTCAGCCTCCTGCCAGAATTCCATTTTCTGAGCAAAAATTAGACTAAAATACAGCTGTAGACTGCACTTTATCACAGGAACTTATGACTAGAGTCTAGAAGAACCCCTGGAAAAAAGCCTGCAGTCTTACATGGTACTTTACATAGTTAGTAGTAGTAGTCACTTTTGGAGTTGCTGAGTTCTCAGGAGTGATCCAAAAGTGTATTTATGATCAGAGAGGAACTGTCTTGTAATTGCTATTTTATGGTCAATAATGGCAAGGGAAGCATAGAATACTCTGTTTACAGTACAGCCTGTCTAAAAGATGGAGCATAGGTCTAGAAGCAAGAATCGTTGCCTGTTTTATTAACAACTCCTCCTTTGCCTTTTGGTAAATTGTATAATTTTCTGTAGAGATATTCCCACTGCAGAGCTGATGCTGGAACTAGAACACAGCCTGACCATAAACCTGCTTTTCTTCATAAGATGATTATTCAAAAAGTTCAAATACTGGCTAACAGGGACAGCTGCAGGTACAGGCTTTGAGTTTGGGGCAAGACTGGCAGACTTTGCATTTTGCTGTAAAAACATGAGCTAGTTAAGCCAAGGTGCTATTAGTCTTGTGGTGTCTCACAGTTCCATGTGGCATTTGCACTAGAAGCCGCATTGGCCAGCTCAGCACTTGGACCCCACTTTGCCAGCACCGATTCTGTTAGACTTGAATAGAAATAGAGTCTAAAGGTTGTCCTTGCCAGCTGCCAGCAGGTCAGAACATAACTGACCTTTGGTAAAGCTGCCTGGAGACATCACTGAGACCCATAAGCTGAAGAAATGTGTCCAGAATTTCTCTCTTGCTTCATGTGGAGCAAACAGGAATGAAAAGGCAGAGAATCACTGTGGGTTTTGAGACTGAATTCCTTAAGGACATTGTCAGTAAAAAATCTTGGTGCCAAATGTTTTGGTTTGCCTTCAAAAGAGCTCTGCATTTATAATGAGGAATGCTATTTGGAAATTATGATATAAAGTATTGTTCCCATGATACTGCCAGACACAGCAGGTCTGTGCTAGATGACAAAGAGCAAGTGCACCCTGCGAGCAAATTCTTGGAGCTGTATTCATGCATGCTAACAGCCATGAGACTTCGCAGTGAACCAGCATAAAGCAACACCATGGGAGCTGTATGGGTTGCGTGCTAGTCCATGGGGCTGTCGGCACAGAGCTTTGCAGAAGTTTCACATGGTTTCCAGTAGCCTGGGTCAGTTCAGTGCCGAGAAGGTAAACTCTCTGGGTTTCCACACTTCTAAAACACGATAAGTACCTGCTCATCTTATGAAGGAGTGGTTTGTGGAGATTAATTAACTAATATTCAGAGAGAACACTATAGGAACAGCACAGTTCTTGCCAGTATGATGTTGCAGATACTATAATGCCAACAGTCTAAACAGGAGGAGGAAGAGAGCAGTGTTTCTGGCCACCAGTGAGAGACAAATGAGGTATGATGTTGCTGTGAATCATCTTGATGGACAATTCTGCTTGTTAGAGTAGGTTTCTCGCACAGGTTGTTACCACTCACAAATTCACTCTGTGCTGTCAGATAGATAGCATCTGGTGTAATAGAGACAGAGTAAGAATATCAGCTGCAAGTAGGTATTGCATGCACGTATTGACTTGAACTCAGAAAATGTTAATCTACTGAGTCATTGTGCATGCGTGCAGACAATTACGTGGTCTAATGTGGTCTAACAGATAAGGAGGAGTAAGGACAAAAATGTGCTCAGTCTTTTAACTGTGAATATGTAATCACTACATCATTTACCATGGCTATGTTTTTGAACAACAAGACCTATTATATTTACTCTTTGTATTACAGGAACAAAGGTGTTAGCAAAAATTCAGTCTGAAAGTACAGCATACATCAAATGAGCAACTGATCATATATAATGTATGAGAGAGAGCACAAAGTGGTAAAGTTTCTTTGTAAAATCCTTCCAGTGACCCTGACTTCACTAAGATACAGCTAATCTCAGAAAGCATGAACACTGAAAGGAAGCATATAGAAAGAGTGAGCAAGCAGTATAACTCATCTGCACCGTGCTGAGGCAGGAAGCTCCAATTCTATTCTGTATATTGCTGTGGAGTTACTGTGGGACCCACAGGAATTCTCATAACCTCTCTGGACTGTCTTACATCCCGAGTAGTACACTAGACCCAAGCAGGCCAGTGAGAAAATATTAACAGGCATAAGCAAAAACTTGTTGCAGAGCTTAGGGACTTCTTTGGCAAATCCTGTACATCCTGCACTGACTGAGTTAGGCAGCAGCCTCAAGACACGGATAGTTAGCTGTTATCTTCAAGGCTCTTCAGAAGGGGAACGTGCTCTAACCAAAGCATCCCTACCTGTGGGAGGGAGTTGTGCCCAGAGGAAAGGCAGATAAAACGTATGTCAGGTTCTCCGGCCTTGGACGGTCCTCACTCATATTGACCTGACCAACAACATGCCCTACTGCCTCTGTGGATAACAAGGCCCAGCATCACTGGAGTGATGAAGAGAGGCAGCTGTTGTCCATCACTAAGGCCCTTCCTTTTTGGCATACTTGTTCCAGTCCCTCCAAGAGGACTATCCATTTGGAATAATGGGGTGAGACAAAGCCAAGAAAATCATTGAGCCGGCATTTGCTAGCCATAAGAACTACTAGAGTGTGAAAAAAAGTTCTCTAATGATGTGGGGAAGAAGTGTCATAGTTAGTACACAGAGCTGTTCCTTCTGTTGTTCTTATGATGCAGGCTTGTATCCAATACAAACTTAGTTGTCTGTATTGAGCAAATGTTTTACCCTTTTGTTGTACCTGCAGTTCCAGTAGCTTCCCAACTAAAAGCAGGAAATGAAATTGCAAAGAGCTGAGAAGAAAATGTTGATTGAAAATGAAAGATGCAGTGCTTGATAGTGTTTGGAGAGTAGTGTGTCAGTGAAATGAAACATAATGAAATAGGACTAGCTGCTGAGAAGGAATTCACACATGGTCAATATATATCTACCAGAAGATATTCCCCCTCATTGCTAGTCAGGTAGTGGGTAAGCATGAAATTATTGAAAGACTTTTGCACATCTGTGTGTGCATGTTTCCAGATGGCGATCATCTTCAACCAGGAGGGCCTGAAAGCTGTCCGCCCCCCTTGCGTCATTCAGAGCTTCATCAATCACAATGCTGTGCTTTATAAAGTCTTCGTGGTCGGGGAATCCTACACGGTGGTGAAAAGACCATCTTTGAAGAATTTCTCTGCAGGAATCTCAGGTACGTTATGCCAATTTAAAAGGAAATGTCAGTTCTCAGAGCCTTGGCACCAAACAGCTCAAATGACAAATACCTTTGAAAAGGCTGCTGAAGGCAGCTGGTTCTTACATACCATGTTTCCTTTTCTGTGTTATTTCAATAGGAAGGGAGATAACTCATCTGCTCTGGAAAACATACGAATGACATTCGTATAGTAAATATTTATGCAATGGTAACCTGAGTCTTACCTGTTAGAAACAGTGGTTTATGTCATGTGGAAAGGGGGAAAGGGAGAGAAATTCTCTTAATTTCACAGTAATTTCATGTGTCATTTGTTCCGGAGTTTATTTATAAATGTGCTTTGGAGAGAATTTCCTGGATTCCATCATTTCAGAACTTCCTTTCCCTATTTTTACCTTGATTATGTATGTGTGTTTAAATTAAAGATCGTGTGTGCTCTCCCCTAAACGAGCCACTCTGTTCATGTGAGGCCCACTGTTGTAAACCTTGGTGGGAAGTGTCCTTTGGTTTGTAGATACCAGCTGTGTTGGGGGCAAGGACAGTGATCCTCCTATATGTCACTAGACAGCAGCACTTCAAGAGTTTTCATTAAAGGTTACTAAAATTTCCTTTATGGAAGAAAAGCTGATTTTCTGAGAACTGCATTCTGTGGGCCTTCAGAAGCAAGAAGAGATTAGCAGGGCATGGATGGGAGCACAATCTGCCTGCAACTGCACAAACCCAGGAGGTGGGGTGGGAGGGCAGAAGGTAGCAAACTGAAGGAGATGAAGAAACAAGTGCAGGTTTCTTGTCACTTAGTGTTTCTGCTGAGCATAGTGTGTCCATGTGTGCCCACCATTGCGTTCTGCACACAGATACCTATTTTTTTTAGTGCATGTATAGTAGGATCCCAGTAAAAGTCCTTGTCTGTATGTATATATGCCTGTAAGTGCAGATGTATTTACATTTTGGTCTGCTCGATGTCCTGATCAAAGTTAAGTAGGCCAGAATCTGTGTTCATATAAACTCCTAGGACAGTTGGTCTTACTTTTGCTGAAAGGGAATGTTTTACAGCGTCTTTCTAAAAATGCCTTAGCTAATATCTCATCTGTTAGTGTAAGACTTGAAAGTTGTCTGGAAGCCCACATGAAAATAAGTTTTGTGGACAGATTAGGATAAGTGTCTGGCTTTCTTGCCCTCATCAGGAGAGTTTAAGGCGGCTGTGCTACAGGCACCTAACTAGGCAGATTCGACAGTTAAGCAGATCTGGCAGCTGTAAGGCACTCCAGGAGCTGATTCTCTGAAAGTACAGGGTCTTTCTAAATGGGAGGAGAGGCAAGAAGAGTACATGGTGGTGTCAGACTGCAGAGTGGATTTGGGTTTGCTTTTCACAGCTCCCCCATCTTTATTGTGCATGGCCCTGTGGCTGCTCTTAAATGTCCATTCAGAGAGACCAGCACAGCAGAAATACTCTGTTGCTGGTGCCACCTGTGTGCTGAGACTTTAGTCCGGGTGTTCCCATGTGGGTTGTCTGTACGATGCCATCAGTCTGCTGTGGTGGGAGTCCCTAGGGGAGACTTGTGGTGGATTTCTCCCCACCAGTAAAACATCTGGCACAGAGGGAGTGGGGGCGAGAGGTGCTGGTACAGTTCTCCCCATGGTTTCCACCATGGTACATTAGTGGTGGCTGTTGCCTCCGGGTGTCTCCTGCATTCCTGTGGTGCCTCCAAAGGGAGGGCAGGTCCTGACCATGCAATTTACTGCTTTCCTCCACAGTGACACTGCCCTCCCTTGGTTCACAGGGATCTCAGCGTACCCTGGGTGCTATCCGTCTGCTGCCTGCAGCAAATGCAGCTTCTCACCTTCCCATTGGAGCTGTTTCTTTGACTATAGCAAATTAGCAGAAATTAAGTTCATTATCTTACTGAACTTAGTTAATTCGCTCTGGTGAAGGAAAGGAAACTGGTTTCTATTAAGCCCGTGCCATTCTAGGTATTTGCAGTCCAATGTCCGAAAACCGCGGGTGACCCAGCCGTGGGTCCCTGCCTGCGCAGGCAGCCAAGTCCAGCAGGCAGGAGAGGCCCCGTGGGTGGGGTGGGTGGCAGGGACTGCCCAGTAGGGATCAAGACCGGATTCCCAGGGCTGCAGTGCCATCTACTGTTCCTTGGACTAATCCTTTGGAAATTAAAATCTAGTATAAAGTTATTTACAACTCTCTTTTAATTCCAGACAGAGAATCAATATTTTTCAACAGCCACAATGTTTCAAAGCCAGAATCCTCATCTGTCTTAACAGCAGTAAGTATACTTGGTCTATTTTCCTCTAGCGCAGCTGGAAAACTATCTAGTCCTTTCATGTATAAGTGTTAGTAGCTAGTGACTCTCCTTCACAAGTCGTCTGCTTCTGTGTTGCAGGCTGAGGTCTGTTTGATACAACGAATCAGAGTGTCCCCCTCTGATTTTCCTTACCAAGCTCTGGTGAGGAAACACTGATGCAGCAGGACTGTGCTGCTTGCCAGGCCTAAACTCCCCACAGTTAATCTAGGCAAAAGAAAGAAGGAGGTTCTGAATGCAAATATCTGGCCTTTCCTATGCAGAGAGTTTAATAAGTGTAAATCACCCTTCTAGGACTCAGTTCTATGAGGAAAGACAAACAGTGAAAATTCAAGCAGAGAAATTGCCTTCGGCCAGTAGCTGTCCGCTGTGCGAGCACACCCGGACTGTGACCACAGGACCATTTCTGGGTGTCTCCTGAGTCCAGCAGTGCCATCTTGCTGCACAGTTTCATGCTTGCATTATCAGTCCTTTTAATAAGCTTTGCATGTATGAATCCTAACAAGATCTCAGCCACTCAGCTACTGAGAAAGTCACTTTACAGGACTCGGTCCTTTCAATCTCTTAAGTCTCCAGATTCTTTTCTGTTTTACAAGCTCTATTTAGGAGTAGTTTCATAGTCAGCAGTGATTAAATTTTAAGTTGTATGCAACACTGATAGGCATGCTAAATATTAATATTGTAATTGTGCTAGTCATAAATCCCTTTATGACTTAATTTACTTTCAAACTTAGAGTATATGCTCCTGTGGTGTACCTGCCATCTCATACACGTACATATTCCATACACAGTTCTGCAGGCATAACAGCATACTTGTGCTGCATAACATGTTTAAAAAGTGAAGAAAATTACATCTTCCAGTCATGAGTAACCTGAGTTGTTCATTGTAATAAATGTTTATAGAATAATTTACACATGAGAACCAACATAAAAGATATCCCCTTTGAATTAGCCCTCTGCCCTGAAGATATCAGCTGAGTTGTGTTGTATGGCTCAGATGAAATTAAGAGCAGGAGTCTGTCTTATCAGCCTTTTTAAACACAGACCTTAATCTACATTGAAGTAACATAATGATATCCAGAATGTTTGCAGCACAGGGTTAAACATGCCAGCTGTATTTGGTTTTTTAAGGTGTAGATCTAGTACTTAAAATAGTGAGTCTGATTCTCCATTCATTCCTACTCTGCTCTGTCTCTCGAGGAGCTGGACCAGTATAAAGAGGAAGAACTAGGTGCTTTAGAGCAGGTGAACTTCCAATATAGGAACAATTCTGAATTATTAAAGAATTTTCTCTTTGGTCTTTCCCTGTTTCATGCCACCAGGTTTCTGCAACTAGATTTGGTGGATATGCACCTGGAAACCTCTGAAAATCAATTTTTCCACTAAAAAGACTGTTTCAGAGTCCCTTAGTAATGTGTCTTTTTTCCACTATAGCTGGATAAAATCGAAGGAGTATTTGAGCGGCCAAACGACGACGTCATCCGGGAAATCTCTAAGGCGCTGCGGCAAGCTCTGGGCGTTTCTCTCTTTGGGATTGATATCATCATTAACAATCAGACTGGGCAGCATGCGGTCATTGATATAAATGCATTCCCAGGTGAGAAAGGCCTTTCCACTTGTGCTTTGTGGAATCTGTGCAGCATGTGCTTAGTGTGAAGTTTTACTGCTGGTGTTTCACATCATTGCTTCCCAGGTAGGGACAGTAGGGCAGCAGTCAAATTGTTCTGAGATCACACACTGTTTAATCCGGGAAGAGCAGAACCCTAATCTAGATATGGAATGTGCTAGTGAAATATTAGCTCTTAGGAGATACGGTCAAATTTTAGTGGGCAGCTGTAATACGGCTGTCATGCTCTTCCCTGCAAAGGGATGCCTGGGAACTGAACTGTGGGACTGTGTGCTGGGACCTGTCCCTTTGAAGATGAAAAGAATAATACATTCTATTTTAAGAGAGCCTTTTAAGATTTCTTTTTTTCTAGACTGTGTGCCATTAAAAGTGTTGAGGGGGTGGAAGCAGCAAACTGTTCCCTTGAAAATCTCTTCCTGTGCAAACTTATTCCCCACGAAAAGACATTTTGTGCACAAAAGCAACACCACCAGGAATCTGAAGAAGATTATAAAATTGTAGGTGCACAGAAGTTGCTGTGTAGGGTTAAATATTCTTGGAGGTTCTCATAAGTGGATCCCAGAGTAAAACAATAGAATAGAGCGTGTGAAAATGGGTAAATTTGTCCTCTGCTTCTTTTAGTGCAATATATGTCTTGGAAACACCTAAACAAGCTCCTTGACCACTGGAATTGTTAAAAGGATTTTAAGTGTGTATAATGGGAGGCAATAATGGTCTGTCACTTCAGCTAAATTCAGTAGCCTAACACAGGAAAAGAATACATCATCTCATTTGGTGCTGTTTTGATTGGTTTTTTTTCTCTTTGAGAATCTCTTCTCATTATCTGAATAATGATATTTGTTTCCAGAGACATACACAGGCTGTTACATAGTTTGTTTCACCTGTTATTGAAGACTTTTCAATAAGGCTGAGGTGTCTTTACATTTAGAGATCTTGCCCTGAGCCCCCATTCTTCTTATTCTTTCAATCCAGGTCCTCAATCCCACTACTGCCCTGTAGTTCCTTGCCTGTCTATCTCCACAGTGACTGGCTTCCGTTTAAAACTCCAGCCCTGCTATTCTCCGGTCACTTTTCAGCTTGGTTCTACCATATGGTGTTGAATGCAGTCTGCAGACCTGTGAAAACAACCTTCTGCCAAGAGCAGTGAAACAACCTATATTGGGTGTCAGATGGAGCCATATCAGTTTTATGAATGGGATTATATTTCAGACACCAGGTCTTTAAGTCAATGATGCATGATGTTCTTTTGTGATCTTGCATCCTGAATTTTGGTTTGGTATTTTGGTTTTGGTTTGTTTGTTTGTTTTTTCAAGTATTGCTTTGGATTTAGTGCTTTGCACAGACTGAAATTCCCCTTTTCTTGAAATGTTGAAAAGTCCAGATTGGGGAACAACTAGTGGCAAACTTAACTATTTAAAGAGGAGTAGAACTTAACTATTTAAAGAGTAGTAGTAGCAGAATTTTGCAGAACTGCCTTAAGCCTCCTGCTCTCCTCTACCTCTACCCTAAGGCAACAGTTTTTTTGATATTCAGCCCAAGTCCTTTCAAGAGGCTTGAGAGCACAGGGAAGCTTCTTGTGCACGGGCCTACATTGTGACTCACACAGGATTTTTTTGGTGGTGAACATGTGGGTAGTGAAGGTAGCTTTATCACCGTGGGATAGGTTGAAGACCAGTTGGAGAAAGTCTAGAGGATAGCAGCAGGGACCAGACATATGGAAGAGAGAAGGCTGGGGGTAGACAAAACTGCCTTCGATTTGTAAAAGGCATCAGAACAGAGAGAGATGGGCTGCTCTCAAGGGCTACTGAGGGAGCAGCTTCTTTTGGAAAAGAAGTAATGGGGTAAAATACAACAGAAGAAAAATTACCTCTCAGCACAGAATATTGCCCAAAAGTATGTTCAGCCCAAGCAGCTGCATTTCCCTCCAGTGGCCAGTATGATTAAAGGCTGGGCAGCTTCAAGGGCTGGCTTCATCGTTGGCACCAGCACCTTGCTAATGAGAAGTTCCAATTCAGCCCTGCTCAAGAGTCACTGATGGGCAGCATCAGCAGTGGGATCTCACTGTTCCTGGCTCATTGCAGCCCCAGGAAAGGGCTTTCCCTTGCTCTTCTTCCTCAAGTCATCCTGTCCGGCAAGACAGGATGCTGTAGAACCAAACCGTAGCCAAGTTAGGCACTTTGGGGACCTGCTACTTTATCTCTGCACCACTGCACTGGGGGAGGGAGGGGAAGAGATGCTCTTTAAGGTGCATTCACAGCCTCTTCATGGAGCTCAAGCTATGGCTTGGCATTATCCAACTGCCCAGAGGCATGGCTTCCTTGGGTGCTGTCTTTTGTGTTTACCAGGCTTGATGCTCCTTTGAACCTGCCACTCCATGGATGTCATCCTGAGATTAGTTTAATGTCAGAATTGAGAGCAGATGTACCTGTAGGAGGATGTTGTCTGTTATCTGCTGCATTAGCACCAGCAAGTCTTCAAAAAGATTTTAAAGATAAATGTCTAAAAGGCCTATTGTGTCTCCCACTCTGTGGGAAACCACCGGGCTATATTTAGCTGTGGTTACCAGCTGAGATATTTAACTGTAGGCAGAGTCACGTAGTATGTGGGTTTTATCTTTGTCTGACCTCAGGTAACTGAGAGAAAAGGCTCCACGTAGCCTGCTGTCCTGTGCCCATGGCTGAGCTCACCCAGCCCGAGCAGCAGCTTGTGCACATGTTCTGCAGCCTGTCACCAGTACAGGTGAACTGCTGGTTCTGTGTGCGTGTATGTGGCAGCTGGAAGCATCGGATCTGGACATGCACTTTGTGTGTGTAAATATGCTGCCGCAAATGCAGGACATGGGCTATCCATTTCTCTCTGCCCAAGGGAAGACGCAGAAAAGCCGAGAATGTGCCAGATCAGGGAGAGTCTCCTAAAAATCAGGCAAGTAGCATCTCTAATGCTAGCTTAAAAATGTTCGTAAGCGTTTCTTGTCTCTGCAAAGCTCAGGAGAGCAGGTACTTGTTTTCAGATGCGTTACTGAGTGGACTGCCTTCCTATCCATGCTTAGCTACAGGACCCTGGAGACTGTTGTCAACATAGCAAAATTCAGGCCTCTTGTAGACAGGCATTTCCAAAATGGTTTCGATGGGCCATGCTAGTATAGTACCTGCTGGAGCACGATTCATGCAACTTTTGTGCTTTGAAGCGTTCAAAACTTATATCCTCCCACTGATTTCTTGTGTGACATGAACCCCAAATTCATTGTCAGTAGTTTCTAAAGGTGTAGTTTAATCTGCCCTTCTTGATTTCCTTATCATCACAGCATGGTGATGTCCTGCAATTGCCTTTTTTTGAGAGGTCTGCAGTAGCAGCCAGTGAACAGAGCGAGGCAATATCCACAGAGTTTGCAGCCTTCCCCAGGCATCCTGTGGCTCAAGAGTTGAGACACCCTGGTTCTTTATCTCCTTTCCTTGTATTTATTTTTTACAAGCCTGTGAAGTTTCTTCTGAGTGACCAGGCAGAAGTATTTGTGCATTTCCACCCAGCGTGCAGAGGGCTTGCACAGAGGAAGCCTGCCTGACACGTACAGCTTCTTTAGACTGTAACATCTGCTGATTTCAGGACTGAATAACTGGCCATCTTATTGCTATTAAATATTTAAAGCAACTTCTTTGTGAGTTTGCCAGGTGCCCTCAAACAAGGCTGGTTTGTTTTCAGTGAGCAGACACGAAACACTCTAGGGTACTATGGATCTCCTCTGAATATTAAAGCTGTTACTATGGAGATGGCTTATTCCCAGGGTGTTTGAAGCACTCTGAGTAGATTTGAAGGCTAATCCCATGGCTTTTACATAAGCAAGAAAGCGTAACAAGCACCTCTGTCAAAGAAGTGGAGATCTTGTTCTGGCTCCCATGACCGGCCATAAGAGTCCTAGTTGCCCCCTGCCGACCAATGGATTATCGTGTGGGTCGCTGGGAAACTTGACGTTTTGAAATGGCCAATTTGTTTGGTGAATCTGTTTAAGGGCCTTTGCGAAAGGAAAACTGGGAGCCATTGTCTCACATTGCAAGTGTTTTGTCTGACCTGTTAAGTTACTAGTTGTGATCGAGTTCAATAAAATCCAAAGCAATGTAGCAGCCTGAATAAGAGTTAATTGGTTAGTGGTATTATAAATACACCAATCACCACATTTATCTTAAGGTGAAATTATCCTCTTACCTTATGTTTTTCAGGAAGTTGGGGTTTTATTGCCAAGGGAACTTGGTCTTTACAGGAGAATGGAGATTAAAATTGAATTATTTAGGAATCTGAGGGACTCTTCTGCCTTGTGATCACATCACTAAAAGTGTTTTAAAATGTGCATTTACTTTGTGGTCTCTGGGTCTGCTCATGTGCTGCTGTGTAAATGTGTGCTGTTCACATGGGACTTTTAAACTGCTATTTCCTGCTTCAGTCTCCTGTATTAATACCAAGTCACCTTCAGAATACTTTTATAGACATTTCAAAACAATCAGCCTAGCCCACTAAATACACTGAATGTCATATGTCACCTCTCAATACTAAATCAAATTGATAACAATTTTAGGTAATGCAGCAGTAGTTAAGATCCATTTCAAGACATTGTACCAATATGTTGCATGTCTGGTTCAATTTTAAAATGAATGCAGTGATAAAACTGTACCTGTACAGTGTTTACAATATAGCCAGAAGCTCTGTATGCCTACTGCCATCCTTTGTGTCACCAAAAATGTCATGTCTCCTGGTATTTGAGCAACTGTTCTAACCAGGAAACTTCTTGTTAAATTCCACATTGTAAATTGTCTGGAATTGATTATACGGAAAGGTGGTTTCAGTACTGAAGTAAAAGATTGATGTTTCTACCAAATACTGTATCATTGATATATGTTTACCGTCCCTCGAGTGTTTTTTCAGACAGTGCTCATAGCAGGAAACATGTTTTAAGTGCCAAGTTAGGTTAGATTACATGAGCATCGCATTGCTTTTTTCACAGTGGGAAGCTGCCGTTTCTGTAGGGTATAAAGCCAGCCCCGCTGTTCTCTGGGGGTTCCCTAACTGAGGGTGGTGCTGGGCAAATTCTAGAGAGGGTCCGGACCCTCGAGGAAACTGCATTAGAGCTACTTTCCATAGTAATCCTGGAAACAGGATGGGAAAGATGAGTGTTATACCACAGAGTTTGTAACTTAGGGAGAAACCTGGACTTGGCAACAAATGATAGAATATACCTAAAATTATGTATACACATACATACTTGGGAGGAAAAAGAAAATCTGAAAGGTGACAATTTTTCTCATTGAACAAAAGTATTTTTGTAGCAATGGTCTCTGTTCCTCTTTATACTAATCTGCTCGTGCAGTCACTCAAAATGATGTCATGGAAAAGAAAGAAGCCTTCTTATTATCACTTAGAGGGCCCAAGAAATAAACTGGTAGAAGAAGCCTTTCAAAGAACTTGTGAAAATGACTTAATTGCATTTTTGTTTCTTGTTCATTTTTCCTCTTTTCAGGTTATGAAGGTGTTTCCGAATTTTTCACAGATCTCCTGAACCACATTGCTGCTGTCCTGCAGGGTCAGGCACCTGAAGTGACCCAGCTAAACCGCAGCAAGCTCCTGACAGAGCAGACCAGCGGGATCATGGACGAGCGGATATGCTGCGCTAGCACAGGCTGTCTCAGCGTCATGGGAAAAGACTCCTCCTGGATTGTGGAAAGCGAGACCAACAGCTCAGTAAAACTGCAACACCAGAGACTAGGCTGCAACTCAGCAGTGTCCCCCAGCTTCCAGCAGCACTGCGTTGCTACATTGGCAACAAAAGCTTCTTCTCAATAACTTGCCAATGCCATGGACTGAGAAAAAGCTACAGGGATACAAATTGTGGTCCCAGAACCAGATCAGGCTGTAACAATACAATTGTGAAAAATGAAAAAAAAAAAAAAAAGCCAACACAACACAAAAAAGTAAAATAAACAAACCTTCCATTTGATTTAACCTGATTTGCTGATGAAATGGACTGAAAGGTGGAGGGTGAGAAAGTAATTCAGATCCATTTCATCAGATTCCAGTTGCAAATCTGTAGTGAGTTTACATATGCGTGGGTTTTAACACTAGTCCTTTCATTGTGGGAGGGTTGCTCTTTCATTTCTGTTGTTCTTTGTAATCACTGGTGACCAGCATTTTAAAATCGGACCTCATGGTATCAAGAAAATAATAATGTTGAAATGCAGTGTCTGAATGTAACAGTGCTAGAGATTTTTGCCTAAAATATTCCCTGTTCCCTTTTTCCAGGTAGGCCATTGCAAAAGAAAGCTAAGACAACTTCAGTATCACTAAACCAAATCTCTTGAAACATTGACCAGTCAAGGTGTTGACAGGTAGCTTGCTGTTAAGCCGTGGCACTTTGAGTGGGACAGAGCAGACTGGTTGTTCAGGGGGCAGAACCAAAGTGACCACCCCAGTTCCAGCTTTGCAGTTCTTCCCCCAGGCCTCCTTGCTTCAGTCAAAAGCAGCTTCTAACCACATTTGGCCAACAGTGACATGTTTGATCCAGACAGGGTGCTGATAGTTAGGTTGAGTGATTCAGTAGATTAAATACCATCCTTTCAATTGTCTGCTGGTGGTGAAATCCTGGAAGAGTTAATGGAAGGAGCTCATCTTAGCAGAGAATTTAATTCTCCCTCCATTGCACTTGTGAGGACTCTGGGATAGCTCTGCAAAAAAGGCTGGCAAACAGACCCGCGCATTTTCCTTGGAGCAGTGCACCTGATCTGCAGATCCTAAGGGATTACATAGTTGCTGCCTTCCACAGATCCATGCTGCTGTGCATTTTGTTTTTCTTTTGCAAATTAAACATAAGCAGAATTGTGTACCTTTGTATGAGGTTGAAGTACTTGACAGCTCTAGCTTAGAGACCCCATTATTTTGTTGCAAGCTGCCAGGTGAGGCTGTGTGGTAATTTGCAGTAGTGCTTTATACTATTTGTAAACTATAGCACAGTGAAATTGTATCTGTTGAGATACACAGTGAACAGTGTTCACCCTCTGTTGCATCTTCTAGCATGGCAGCATCTTCTGCTGCTGAGAATTCCTGAAACTTTTGCCAATTCTGAACACTAAACTGGAAATAGCCAAGTCTGTCAGTGCTGAGAACAGAGACACTATTTTGGTAGACAGAGTGGCCTTCCCTTCCCCATATAAGCCCTAAAATACATTTAAGAGGGGTGGTGTTAAGAAAATTTCCTTAGTTAAGCTCCTAGCTCGCAGATACGGGAATTTCTGTCTTTCTATAGCAGCTATTTGTAAAACATCCATCACTGCAGCATTTAATACCAGTTTGTTTAGTATCATGTGTTAGATATCTACTCAAAAGGAAAGGATCTAGAGCTTAAAGCCCAGGTAGACCATGGAGAGAGGAGTAAACTGTGTAAAAGATGTCACCACCCTACCTGATGGTACCAGTCCTGGAGGGGAAAAAGTTTTGAAGAGTGTTGTGTAGCAGTTCTTTTGTGTAAACAACAGGGTTTCCTTAGGAGAGATTGGGTTTGTTCCCAGAATGCCATTCTTGGGAATTTCCTGTAGCCAGGATCAGATTTTCGAGAATGATTTACGCAAGAGATTATTCCACCTCTAGAGGGGTTACTAATGTGAAGATATTTCTCTAGGGACTGGAAGGACCTTGTGAGTGTGGTATCTCTCAAATCCCAGGGTGCACATAAATGCGGCCAACTTCCTCGACTATTGCAGGTCAGTTCTGAGCTGGGCGTGCTTCACAACCCTTGTACGCTTTGAGGCTGCTGGATCCCACGTTGTCCGCAGCTCGCAGGTCTCGGGTGGTGTGATGTGAGCGATTCAGATGTACATAGGTAAGGGTTTGTAAGAGTATTCATGATAGACCAAACCTTTCATAAAGCCATGCCTGAAATAAAATTGACATCTACAGTTTGGAGTTTGTTTTTGTTTGTTTAAAATAAAAAGTGTTTTTATGTTACATGTGTAACAAAAGATACCCTCAGGAAGGAACTTGCCAGTGCATATTTTTGTATGGTACTTTCTTGTAACCAGCTGGTGGAGTGTTTGTAGACTTGCCTTTTGCTCCCTTTATTACAGTGGTTTGGAGTTTTTTGGGGGTTTTGGTTTTGGGTTTTGGTTTTTTTTATTGGGTGGTGGGAAAGAAGCAATGATGTTAAAACTGGGTTTGTGACTCAAGACCTTTCAAAGTAAGTTATGTTTACATGAATCTGAGTGTTGGATCCAATGGAAATGTCTGTATGCTGTTTCCTAGTTAGAACATCAAATAAGAATTTTATTTTCCTGGCTGCCTTCTGAATTTTGGTTGGCCTATTTTGCACTGCTTTATTTCTCCAAAATAAACTACTGAAATATAATTGTGCATTTTAAACTTGTTTACAAATGATTGTTAGAAGTTTATTTTGTAATTCTCTGAAGGCTTGCAGAAATACTATATTTAAATATTACTCCAGACCTTGGCAGTAACTAGAAAACAAGTTTAGGTCATTGGTGTGATCGGTGACATTTTTCCCATAGTCTGTAATTTATTTTTTATTTATCAAATGTATTGGTATCACTTTAATTTACCAGGTGCAGATATGCAGGTACCTGTTGTGATGTGGCATTACAATAGTTTTCACATAAATTACCATGCAATTGCTGTACTACTATATTTCCTTGCAGAAATTATCGTTATGGCTCGTATACTAGAATGTTGCTAAATCACAGGGGCAAATTGGGAGACCAACTTTTAAAAGCCAAAACTGTAAATTACCAAGTATCCAGACATACAATTATGTTATTGCAAAACATTCGAGCATGCGTATGTTATTAAGCCTGTGCTAAAGTGCTTTTCTGAATTGCTGCCTCGTTTGATAAGTTCAGGATAGTTTTGATTTAAGATAAGCTTCACAGTAAGTTAGTTAATATTCTGTAGTCTTGTCTTTTTTTGTAAAAGTAGAGGAGTCTAGTAATACTAGACCATACCAGAATGCCCTTGCTTTTAAAATTGCAGACAATCTGAGGGAGATTTTCCATTATGTCTGTTTGAATTCTGTTATTGTGGGCTAGAAAAGGTTCTGCTGTGTTTTCAGAAGTATAGCTATTGTTGTGTTGATGGGAGCAATTATATTAAAATTCATGGTCACCAGTTAGCTTCTTAGGGATCTATTTCTGTGCCGCTTCACTGTTAGAAATCCACAAGGACACCATTAGCTTGACTGGAATTTCTCCAGGTTTTGCGTCAGCGTAATGGGGGAGATGGGAGTCTGGTTTCCGCTGTAGTTATGTAATCAGCTTCAGTAGGTGAAGATTTTTCCCTGTTGAAGAGAATTTGAGTGGTATTATTACTGCCTGCAATGTAAAGCCATCACCGTCCTCCTTCCCCTCTAGCTGACTTTGCCGTGTTATGCTTGGGTTTGTAATGACTGTACCAGAACATCCCGATCATTAGGTGAAAACTAACAGCAGAAATGCAGCCTGACTAGGACCGTTGGTGCTGACACGCGTGGTTTGTGTAACCACTGGGCCGACGCTGTTTTGCCTCGGGTTTGCCTCCGTTCTTAACGTGTGATTGTTTGTGCAGAGGAGGTCCCGCAGCAGGTTGCTCAGATGGAAAACCACCGGTTTTTCTGGTTTTCATCATAGATGAGTACAAATTAAGAACCCGACCCTGAGGCTTCAGGAGGTAACGAGGATAGCTCAAGGTAAAGCCTCAAGTTCTCCAGATAATTGCGGCTGTATCCAGCCAGGGAACAACCGGGTACTTAAGTGGTAACATAGGCAGGACACAAGCCAAAGGTGACAGAATAAATGGGGCCAGAGGTGTTTAAATTGGCTGGCAAAAAAGAGTGAAACAAAGGAAAAATGCTTCTGTTGTTTCCATCCAGTAAAAAAAATTGCAGGCTTATCAGTTTTTAACTGGTTTCCCAAAGTCTTTGCGTGGCAGCAGTGACAAGTGAGTCAGGCTTTTTCGTACTAGCTTGCAGCCTTGCCTTCCGCAGCTGTGCAGAAAATCTTGGATTTTGTTTTTTTAGTGAATAGAGTCTATTTTGAGTTTGTAGCAGTGTCCCCATGTGCACACTTGCAGGAGTTCTCTTGCATTACCCTGCTTTTTTTCTTTTCCTCTCTCCTTTTTAGTAAGAGATGTATTGATTTCTGTATTCAGTAGACAATTACTTTATGGTGTTGCAACTGTCTGTTTTGTAATTAGGAGTATGTGAAAATGCTTTGTGTAGATTAAAATATTTCCTTTAATATAATCTCCTCTCTCTTTCATAGATAAACAGACACGCCGTTGCAGATCACATTGCTGATTTTATTTGTAATATTGCTTTAATATCTATTTCAGAGGAATGTAACTTCCAGAAAAGTACTTTCCACATCTTCACTACCTTTCCTTTCCCTGTTCACTCTGTGTGGATCCAGGCCATCAACACTTGGGCTTTTGAGCAGATGGGTTTCAGATCCTCCGTGGATTCTGTGATGTTTACATGGCCACAGAAATTTTTAGAGATTGTTGAAGTTTGAGAGGATCCAGGTATAAATGGCGATGTTAGAGCAATTCCTCAGCAACACAAGCACAATAGCTTCTGTAGCAAGCAAAGGCTCCAAATCGTTCTCGCTGTGTGCATGCAGGTGGCCATTGGGGTCTGGTCCACCTCTCCTGCTGGGCCAGTTTTCCTGTGGAAATAAAAAATCCACTGTGAGAAAACGTCCTGTATCTGTGATGCAGAAGGAGGGTGAGGAGAGGCAGGGCTTGGGAGTAAAATCCTGGCCAGTGGACATCATGATACCAATGGTCTATGATTTTAATAGCAATCTGGGGAGATGTTTTCCCTTTCTCTCGATTTTTCTTACCGTGAATCCACTGGGGCTGCTGCTATGTCGCTCACGGGCCACAAGAGCTCATTAGCAGGTGACCTTGCCCAGCATGCCATGAGTTTGCAGAGGGCTCCCAGTGTGTTGGGCAGTTTTTGTTGATGGCCTGGAACTCTCTTGAAACTCCAGAAATAGCTGCAACAGCAAAAGGAGTTCATTAAAATCAGGTCTTCCTCTTCCATCCTTTTTAAGGAAATCCACATTTTATTTCCTCCTTCATTCTTTACACAGTAGTTTTTAGATATAAATTATTTTAACATTTTTTGTGTGAAGTCATATATACATATATAAAGTTATTAAAAGGTTGAGTATATGTTGAGTATAAAATAGTGATGACTTTGTTTCAGATGTTAGCAGCCCC